GATGTTCAGCGACCTGCACATACAGTTCAAAATCCCCACAAAATTACGCCTTCGGAAGACGCGCGGGTGAAGACGCAGACTTGCAGTTTGGGAAATAGATGTGATCAGGTAATAATTTGTCCAGAAAGTCACCGGGGAAGTTGAGGTTCACGGGTTCCGCATCTACTTTATTACATATTCCTGCAAAATTAGAAAAAAACATCGTGCTGCATCAATGCACCCAAGTCCGCCATATTTCCGACGTCGCGCACAAAATCACGGCCTCCGGAACTATTGTCTCGTGCCAGCGATACCCGCTGGGCTTGCCGATGTCACTACTGAACATTTGGAAGAGCGAGGCAGATGTGGTTTAATTGCACGTTCATCATTGCAGCTACAAATACATCGACAGAGCCGTCGACGTGCTACTCCGTTTTAAAACTGTTTAAGCCGTCCGGCGAGCGGAGAACTTCATTTGCTCGCAATGTTTCTAATGGGGCCGTCTGCAGGGGCACAGCCGGATCATTGGCAAGGGGATAGGGGGGGGGGGCGCCGCAGGGCCGACAAAAGGCCCCCTGATAGTGAAAGGGTCCCCCCAAAAGTTAAGGAATTCGCTGGATATGGCCCATTTGTTAATGGAGGCATGCTTCATTGTTTTTTCTCAGTTTTTCACCTTCGATGATAGGTGTGGAGTCAGAATCTAACACGAAATCAACTCCACCAGAATTATGTAGCTAATAACTCGAGACATTACAGGTCAAATAACTGCATGAAAGAAATGGCCGGCGCGCTTCATTTTGCAATGGTCCAGTGGACTCCTTCTAAACTGATATTGTCGGGGTGATCTGGGTTCTGCAGAGATATTAAGTAGCGCGCTAATGACGCATGTAGGTCGATATTGATCGGAAAGCTGTAGCAAGGTGGCCTGTTCAACATTCAGTAAGAAACAATAAGTGATACAAATCATGTAACGCAGTTTTGAACATGCGCGCTCGTACATTCCAGAAACAAAAACCTCCACGCAAGGCGCTGCAGCCTCCACATGCCACGCAGCGTCGGCCTCACGGCTCACACTAGTGCCCCAACTGGCGGATGAAAATGGTGGCGCACCTGACAGTCACCTTACAGCGTTTTAAAAAATCAAATGGTACGTTTAGGAGGTATTCCGAGTGTACTTTTAACCTGTGCGAGTTTAAGGTGGACGATAAGAAAGGATTGACATTTGCAGCACCGCGCGAAGTGGTGTTGGAATCTGGTGGTGGAACTAGAACAGTAAAGGTAAAACCGCTGTTTTTCGTGTTGCCCTGACAGTTAATCTGTTCAGAGGACAATACTAAAGCTGCAAAAAAGACAAGCACGGCCTAATCTGTAAACGGTTCGAAATATCCTGAAAGGCATTCGAAAACATGATTTCACAAGATCGCTTTCACGCGCATAGAACCCATCGCCTTGGTGTTGCAGTGGCCAACGCCGCTCGGTTTTACGAACACTGCATCCACGGCCATCGCGATCTTGTTCCCCAGGTTGTGAGCACGCAGGCGCAAACCATTTGACGCAACTTGCTCCACAGGCCGAAGAGTTAACGTTCTCAGACAATCATGGTATAACATTGTTTTTGAACTCATATCGGCCCACGCTTCAGCACTAATGAGACACATTATTTCTTTCCGGGCAAGGGCTAGGGTCACATCACTGTTCGCGGCCAAGGGCTGAAGCGCCATTCCGCCCCACCGCGAAGCGGAATGGGTGTCTTCCGGCTGTCATTCTGGCGGCACGGCGGCGGGATCCTCTGGTCGATCCGGAGGCTCTAAGAGGGGTGCATCAAGCCACATGGTCGCCTTCCGGACGCGGGAGGCCTTCTGACCCTCGCGTGTGGCCACAGATCGACGCAGGAACGCTCATTGACGCAACAAAGACTCTGACCGCCGCAGGCGGTCGAATAATAGGCATAGACTCTAGTTCGCCTTCACAGCCCATGCTGAAATTGGGTTGGAGGGCCTCCCGTTTGGCATTGGGGGGCCCTGACTCGCACAGAACCCTTAGGCTGCCCCAATGTGAGCAACCACCATAAGCTGTAGTGTTTCCTTTCATTACCAATGGGCACGACCAGCACTGTCCCGCCCTCTGACATTCGGGGTACCGTCCCGCCCCTGTCCAACGAATGTTTCCCAGGCTGACTCCCGACCTCTGGTTGACACAGGCCACCCCGTAAGGTGCTCTGAACCCCTGGCCGATACAGGAGCCCGACATTGTTGCAGGGGCTCCGACCGATGTAAATCACAGGCCCAAATCAGCCAATGTAAATCGGACCCTCAAATGGGCCCTCAACTTGGGCCATCAAGTCCGGCCCTTAGTTTTAGGTCTCGACGGAGCCTTCAGGCTTCTCGAGACCTAAGAGGGGTAGCGTGCCTGCTGTACCGCCTTCTCCTCGTGCCTGCACCGTTGGCCATATGTCTTCAAAGCTATTGATCTTCTGATCCGCCGTGTAGATCGCCAGTTTGCATGGTTGGCTGTCAAACCGTATCCGGTGAGTAAGCCAGCAATGGCATCGGCTGTGAAGGATTCACACAGGGAGGGGCATGCGGCTATGACAGCAGGAAGCGGAAATATAGGCCTATGAGTGGACAAAAACAAGTTTTTGCTTGTTGTGATAGTAGTGCTTGAGGAGATTTGGGGGGCTAATTATGCTGCCCAGAGCCCCTACGATGCTGCTTATTTGTCCAATGGTCGGTGTGCTCCGATCTCTAAGAAATATTTCACGCCGCACTTCCTGTCTTTACATTTGCTCTGATGGTCCTGCTTCGTTGTCGGGCCCAATATGCTAACGTGCCACGGTACTCTTGACCGATCAAAGGCCTTCCACGGATTATTCCCATTCACCTGATAGGCCTCAGCTGCAACTGCGGGGAGCCCCATATGTTAACCTGCCGGGGTACTCTCCGTAGTTCAGAGGCCCTTCACATTGGTCTCGAGTTTTGTCTCGGTTATTATTTTGTTATATATGACCTCGGGTTAGTGTTCTATTGCCCTGGGCTTCATCCGCTTGCTCGGACGGCCCTGCGCTATTCATGGGGGCCATACAAATTAACCTCAAAAGATGCTCAATGCCCAGAGGTTCTATACATTTTGCTATGGCACTTTCCATTTCCTTTTATTTGAAGAGGACCCTAAACTCTTGTCGGGGCCCTTTTTCTGTTAACCTGCCTGAGCGCTCTTCGTTGCAAAGGGACCCGTCTCATTCGTCTTTGACGCTTAATATTTGCTCGGAAGACCCCGCGCTGTTGTCAGACGTCCTCGTTTATCTGTCGAGGCACTCTCCATCTCTCACTGGCCTTTCACATTGGTCTTGGGCTCGTTTCGTTAGCTCGAAGAGCCCTGTGTCCTGGCTGTGAGCTACATTTAGTCCACTGGGGCACTCCTGATCGTTCAGGAGGCCCACGATACTGCACATTGGTCTTGAGCTCGTCTCGTTTGCACGAAGGACTCTACACCGTTGACGTGGACCTCTGTGTTGATCCGCCACGGCGGCACCCTCGATTGCTTAGGCGCCATCAACACTGGTCTTGGACTTTTCCATTTTCTCGGGGCCTGCGCTGTTGACGGGGCCCTACACGGTAGTCAGCCGGGCCTCCACATTGGTCTTGGGTTCTTCCCGTCACGTCAGAAGGACCTTGATCAGTTGCCAAAAGACATATCTGCTTGGCAGCGTCAGTGCTTTCGCCATTTGCGATGTTTCACCTGCTCGCGTACACACGCCTGGCTAAATCGATTCAGGCACACAAGCCCGAGATCTACACGATAAAGATTTTCCTTGGCGCTCTAGTCACAGATAGCAGAAGCCGTATATGTGTCATGCATTGTTGCCGCGCTTGTTTAAGATAACTGTTCTTGACGTCGTATTTTTTGGTTCCCTTGGCTGTTGAAATTGTGACACCCGTGTATCATATACTCGTGTATCATATTCTTAACAGGCTTCCATGTTAACACGTGTGGTACTCCTTCACAACAGTCAAAACAAAAACTCTACATTACGCAATAGCGATTCGCTAATCGCAACATCGACTAGTTTGCTAGCAGCTAAAAGCCGACTAGCCGTTACTGATCCTGAGATCAAGAGTCCCAACAAATTTCGATGGCATTTCAAATCAAACTTCAATCCATTTTGCTACGTATTTTCCAAAATACTTCGTAAGATTGCGCATTTGAAGATTGTGCACTCTCGTATAAAAAGCAGACTCAAAAATCGGCTTAATCGGCTCAATCTGACACATTTAATCCCCAAAATATTAGTATTTTTACGCGGCCTCAATATCCATCGAGCCCACCGCTTTGGCCACTCCCCTTACCAAATTATTGATCCGCTTCTGGATGTATGACGACGACGGCGCAGTGTTGTCAATCAGTTTCCTTTTTCAACGACTTGGAAAATTTAGCAAGCTCGTCTAACGCGCCGACTCGCCCAAATCACCAGTAGTGAGGCCCACATTTATAAAGCCACATCAGTAGTGCAGTCTTTTTTCGAGCTGGTTTGATTACAGGTCACGAATCACGTCTGAAATTTGTACCGACGCCGATGTTCTTTGCAGCCAACATGTGTGTGCGCAAATATCGAATTCAAGTTTATAACCAAGAAGATGCTGAGCGCAACGTGCGCAGAGTCATGTGTGCTTATTCCCCTTAGGCCATCCACAGCCGTACATTGCAATGTTTCCCTTAGAGACGCGGCTATGGACATCGCCGTCACTGGACGCCAACGTCTCTGTCGAATAGGCCATCCCATGATGCACGTTTGTTTCTTGGTGGGTGACGACACGCCACGCCGGTCGTGCCGAAGGCATCAAATGCCACGACAGACCGGCCATTCAGCCGCTCTCCGAGACGCGACGGGTAACGACGACGTCCAATCCCGCCCGAGGCGCCTGGGATTCCGCCCCGCTGACCCCTGACACCCAGCGGGCGGACGTCCGTCGCGGGTAAACACCCTCCGCCCGCTCTGGGGCCGTAATGGGGCCGATCACAAACACCGGCCGCCGGCGGGCACCGGTCCGGTGGTCCACAGCCCCGGGTCTCGGCAGAGCTGCACTACGGCAAGAAGGGTGCGCGATCCTCCCATTCCACGCCGCGCGGCTCAAGGAAGAGGTAAGTGTTTGGCGGGACGCCAATGGGCACAGGGCATGTCCGACGTCTGGAGCCCACGCCTGGCGCGGGCAGGCGTGGGCTCGGCCCTCGCAGCGGTGGGGCCTCGGAGGTGATGCGGGGTTCCTCTGGCCTTCACAGAATTCGTGCCCCTGATGCCCAGCGGCCGTCCACCGGCAGTGTGGGCTGTTCGTGTCTTTCTCAGCTCTCATCTACCATCTCGGCATGACATGTCTCTAAGCTGGGGCCTCGGGGGGCTGTAACATACTGTGAAGACCACTACTTTGGTGTGTCCTCCGCAACGTAACATATGGGAACATTCTTAGCTGGATGAAAGATGATTCGTGACGAAGGATGGAGGGTGAAGGCTTCATTCGTCGTTTCCTGCCAATCGCTAGAACTGCAGCGCATTTACCCATGTGGCCGCCGTCGCGTTCTCAAAAAGGAACGATCCCTTCGAGCGTCAATAGCGTGCAACAAAAGCTTCGTTGCCTTTCATTTTGCGATGACATTTTATTTACTTAATTCCTCCTTTGTTAGTTGATGCGGCTATCACATAGTCACATCGACTGTGATACCGATCAGCATTTGTCGCCTTGCCGAGCTGATCTGCCTCGGCCCGGCCTTGACCACCATCCCTCTCCCACACGGCAACAGGCGACGTCCGATATCCGCTGTCTGAAGGCTGACGTCCGAACCTGACGTCCGCTGTCCGGTGTACGATGTCCGACGCCTGAGGTCCGCTGTCCGGTGTCCGATGCCTGACGTGCTATGTCCGCCGTCCGATGTCCGTCGCCTGCCGTCCACTGTCCGGTGTCCGATGCCTGACGTGCCATGTCCGCCGTCTGGTGTCCGACGCCTGACGTCCGCTGTCCGACGCCTGACGTCCGCTGTCCGGCGTCCGATGCCTGACGTGCCATGGCCGCCGTCCGATATCTGAAGTTTGAATCTTGATGTTCGCTACACGGCGGGGTCTGACCCTGGCTTATCTTGATCTGCCGTCAGACATGCTCAAGATGGTGCTCGCCGGTGCGATGGTGGCCGGTGCGATGGTGGCCGGAGCGTCTCTGGTTGTCGCGAGGGACGGCCGCTCGTCGTACGGAGACTACGGACAGCACCCGTAAGACAATTGATAGAGAGATGGGATGATTGGGAGACACCTGAGATAGGATAGGATGACTTAGAGATTTACTTCCAATTGCTTGTTAGTCTTGTTAGTTAAGCTTCCTTTCCGCAGTCAACCCTGCTGAAAACAAAATACCTGCCTCTTTACTGTGATAACGCTCATGAAACGTCTAAGAATATTCGTGAGTCTTAAAGCGTATTTGGCATTTAAATCACGCCTTTGTGTTCCAGATATCCGCCCGCCTACGACCGCATAGGTTGCGACTTTCCGGTGCAGGCGGTATCTTCAAAGGCATACGGTGAGGGTCATTAGCAATTATTTAATTCATCGCCTTGTCCAGAGACTCGCACCACTTCAGACGTACCTTACCCAGCTTTCGTACTTGATTGACGTGTCTCACCCCTTCAGGCCGGCAGAAAATAATTGCCCATCACATCTCGTGTGTCCATGGTATGTCGCATGAGACACAGAGCTGCAAGTAAATAATGTTTTAAATTGCAATCAGCTCATTCTGGTGGCTCAGTTGGTTTCAACGCCTACCTTCCGATTCAATCAAACATGGTGGAGAAGGATCGAGTCGCTTAAAGGCCCTCTATTAACCGCTTGACTGGGAGGGCCTGCGGCCGTTGGCAGCGGCGTCGCTAACGTTCAGGTGACGTCAGAAGGCAGGACGGACTTCGTTGAACATTGAGATACACTAATCTGTTGCTTTGGAGTTTCGCCTTTGACCTGGAATTTCCAGATCGCGTGGGGCGGTAAGTGCTTATGCAAGAGACAGTGCTTAGGCGTCTACTGATCTTAGAACTTAAAAACTAATCAACCAACAGGTGGCCTCGGATAACAGATGGTGCGCTGGGGGAATGAGGTGTCGTGGCTTTCTTTTCATTTCCATTGAAAACAAATGTATTGATCCTGTTGAGAATGCCTGGGTGGCTTGTTTTAGGGCGTCATGGTCCCGGAGCGTTGCTGCACAGCTTTCGAGCCCGCTGGTCAGCTCGCGATGGCCGCGCTGTAGCTATAGCCTACCCTACCGCTATGACTCTCTTACTGCAGTTCCTAATGTGGTTCACTGCCCCTAGTCCAAGTCGCGCTTCACTTTTGGTCCTGCCGGCCGCATATCCGGGCGCTAGTTGTCTGTACTCTACCTGGCTAACCGGGTCCAAAACGGAATGTTCCTCAGAACGGTCTATGATCTTACGGCACGGCCTGCCATTCAGCACGGGCGGGTTGCATCCGTTCAGGTACACACCGCGCCATGGAGCCATCAAGAGCACACGAGCATCAGCGCTGACAACACCTATCGGTTCCAGAGATCGCCAGCATCGTCAGCGCTGTCGGCGTCGTCGCGCTGGTCTTAATGGCCATTGTCGCTGTGATGGCGAGCTTATTCGAAATCCAAGTTGGCGACATCAACGTTAACGACGGCAAGCGTGCGCTGCTGCAACTGCCGCTGTTCGACAAGGTCGTCTCCGGCATTGAAGAGGATGCAAATCCTGTATGGAACGGCGTCGCCACAGCTCCATCGGGCGTAAGGCCGGTGGAGGCCAGAGAGCCACCGCGCGGCCGGTGAGGACAGAGAGCCGCTGCGGTCTCCTTTTCGGAGCCCCGTCGCTCATAGGCGGCAGGCAGAGTGGCATCGGTTAACAGGTGGTGCGCTGGGAGAAAGAGGTGCCTTGGCTTCACAGGGGACGGAGCGCCTCGGTGTTCTGGTGTGTTCGGACAAATCCCGATCGAGATCTCTTGATCCCGACGGAACATTTAGAGGCTTTGTAAGGAGTCATATGGTGGGCTTTGGACAGGGACGCCATTGCGGCCAGCAAGACCGTGGGCATTGTCGCGGGTGGATGTTCGGCATTGTCGGAGTGGATGCATTTTTTTAGTGTGCCAGGTCTGTGTACGCGTTGTGCGCGCAACCGAAGGATCTGTTCGCTGTGAGCATACTCTATGTTATTTACATGGAAATACATGAGCGGTATCGCGACGAGCTAAGAAAAAGCAGCGTCACAATCGGCGGTGGGATTCGAGCTTCTGGCACGTGTTGGGTGCAGTCAGAACAGCACCAGACTCTACCAACCGCAAACGTTGTTATAAAAACTGTCAGAACAGTGATGTCGTCGCTGACTATGCTAAGGCAACCTTCGATGGCTCTAGCCAGGAGTGTGACTTAACACTCGCTTGGGTGGGGTGGGAGGGGCTTAAATCGGCCCCTCAAAGGTTTTTTTTCTGGGATGGTCTCTGAAGGGCGCGGCAAAGTCGCGCCAATTCGTGCGTAGCTGTAGACAATTGGAGAGCGGATCATTTGGTGTCAGAAATTTAAATGTGCCTTATAAGGCCAGTGACATTCGTTGGGCCAAAATGAGGCCATGGTTTCAGCGAAACCAATGTCTAGGGAATCGTTACATCTGACGCAACAGCGAAGTATTAGATGAAGTCATACATCTATGAGATGCTTTCTTAGGCAACACAACAATTGAATCAACAAATTTTATTGACTTAGGATCAGGTATGAAGGTCAGACCAGGGACAAAACCAGGCTGTTTGGAACCATTACTCTATGGCCTGCCGTATGGGATAGCTTCCGGTGCTCGTTTCGTATTTACTTTTAACAGAAAGCGCATTAGACACCTTTCATGCACTTCTTAAAGGTCAGAATAGATCACTGACCCAAAACAACTCAGATCTACATTTTGTTTGATAAGAACATACTGCCTGGTGTGATCGTTGTCGCGTATTCAAATGTAAAACTCAAAGCAGTCTTGTATGATTTTCTTCACCATGACCCTCCGAAGGTCAAACAAGGTCACAGATATTCGGTGAACATGCAAACTTTTGCTTACAACAAGTATCTAGATTCTTTGGACACTTTGGAGACCAACTTGGAGTTTGCCCCGAATGACACGACCTGGAAACCTTACAATTTGACCTAAGTGAGCTCATGTAAACACTAACACTCCTGGTGAACTTGGCGTCACTAGCCTTTTTAGTTCCTGATGTCGCAGAGGGAGCCAACTTGACCCCCGTCCGAGTGAAGGGTAGCCAACCGGTCGGCCGGGCGTGTGTTAAATAATCTACGTCCACAGCAACAAGATGATCTCGTGATGGATTTGACTGTACACTTATTACAGCGTGTATTGGTACAAAGAGCCAGAAGCCAAAAAGTCAAATGGGAAAAAGCGAACTGGATAAAAGTCAAGGAAGTCAAAAGGACAAGAAGCCAACTGGCAAAAGGTCAAATGCTTAAAAATCTAAAGATAAAAGTGGAATGTATTAAGTAAAGAGATAACGAGTAAATGTAAAATATCACAAGGGTGAGAGCAAAAGGGATAAAGACTACAACGAGAGACTTCCTAAATGTCTTCCATTTCCCTTGAAGCTTTCATCACCTGTGTGTAACGAGGGAAAAGACAAGTCTAAGAAATCCGAACCAAAATGAAAAGATGCTTGCAAGCCCTGAAGACCGTAAGCGAAAAAATATCGTCCGTTGCGTGGGGCATTTCCAGGTTATCTTCAGGGAGCCTCCTGGTCTCTGCACGGCTGCGAAGCCTGTACGCCTCATTTACGTTAAGGCTGGTTGCCCCCTTATATGTTAGCATGGCCTCTTGCATGCTTGCAGGGACCCTTTGATTGTGGGTGTGGTGAGTAACGGCGGCGCTGCAGGGGGGGGGGGGGGGGAGGGTACGTGTTTTTTACCTTTCTGCATCAGGTCGCAACTTTCACTGAGGGATTTACACAAAGTGTTTCTACTTACCAAGTCGATAG